GCCACCAGTTCAATGCTGATGACCCCCAAATGTCCGTCCCCAGTGTGGGCCTGACCCCCAAACTGCACACCTGTGTGACACCTGCCTCCAGGCACCGCACGTGACACCCACAGGGGATCACAAGCAGCGAGGCGGCATCCAGTCCCCAACTTGCCCCAGCTCAGTAATGGCAACTTTGTCCTCCTGGGTGCTCAGGCCCCCATTGTCCTTGATGCTGGTCTTTTTCACACCCACATTCAATCCATCACGGATCCTGCCTCATTACTCAGCTCCCACCATAGCTCCCACAGACCTCCCTAACCTCCCCAGTCTGTTCCCTCCACAGCTGCCAGGGGGCGCCTGTGAGCAACTGAGGCAGGGCACATCCTCCCTTTGCTCAGAACCTTCTGTGGCTCCCACCTGCCCCACAGTTCAAGTCCTTCTCCCAGCCCACAAGGCCCTGCACAAACCCCCCCCACCCCACCCCATACCCTCACTCTCATCTCTGCCAATTTCTCCCTCGAGTGCTCTGTTTCAGCCACACCAGTCTCCTCCCGTGTTCCTCAAACACACCAGGCACATTTCGGCCTCAGGGCCTTTGCTCTGGCTGTTCCCCTCAGGCTGGAACGGCCTTCCTCTCCTTGCTTCTTCCAGCCTCATTCAAAAAGTAACCCCTGTCCTCTTCCCATCGGAATTTGGTCCTCCGCCTCAAACCCCCCTCCCCCCCGACTCAAAGCACTTCTCTCAGTGGGGAATTAGACGCGTTTTGGTACGGGCATTTGATTTGTGTCATTAATTATGGTCCAGACCAACAATGAAACTCCCTGCAGCTGGTTAAAAAATGGTGGACGTGTATATTTATTTCCCAGAAACAGTGGTGAGTATTGTAAACTGGGGGAAAGAAAAGTCCATTTACAGAGTGGCGAGATGTGTGACCCCATCTCATTGTTGTGCTTATCAGTGTCCTGGAAACACAGTCTGCAGGGCCCGCCCCCAGATGCTGACAGGTGGGCCTAGAGCTGGCAGGGGGCAGCAGGGCTGCCCTTTCCACTTATTTCTGCCAATGTCTATTTCCTGTATCTTCTAAATTAACCTCTGGGTAGATAAGGTCACGGTCAAGCGTCCAGCTTTTGTTTGTGGTGGTGAGTGGAGAGGGCATAGCCCTGCATTAGAAGTAACTAACTGAAAAAGCTAACAACATGAGTAAATGGGGCCAGGGGTGGGTCAGGGTGAAGGCACTCATGGGCTAGAGGTAGAGGGACTCTAACGAATGCAACTGTGAGCACCCGGGGTCTTCCGGGGAGAAAAAACCCCACAAACACATCAGCTGCTGGTTTTTTTCGATAATATTAATTAAAAATCACGGCCACATTTTTCATGGCTTCCGCTCTTGCCCGTGGGGCGGTGAGTTTTGAGGGGTGAGGACTTGATGAATCAGAGGGAGGGGTGAGGGGAAGAGAGGCCTGAGCTCCTGGGTGGGTGTTTGGGGTCAGGGGTCATTTGAGGCACTGAGTTCGTCTTCAGCGGTCTTTGCCAACCTTCCATGATGTGGGCTGACCCAGGCCCCTCACCGGGGTATGGGCTCCTCCGGCCCCCCTCACCAGGACAGGTCTTGGGCAAAATCTGCCAAAGCAGCCAATTGGGACCAACCTTACATAGTGCCACCCAGGCAGACACACACAGAGACGCGAGGCCACACTTTGTCACCCTCTGCACAGCCCTAGTGGCTACACCAGCCAAAGGGTGACTCGGGGCCACTGTGACATCCACAGCGGCTCCGGGGGTCTTGGATAATTACAGTAAGAGGCACAGAACCACACACCTGTCACCCCACCACACAAGCCCACATCACACACGTTGCACCCCGAGTAGGGCACAGCCGACACCCCCACGCAGCCCCACCAGGTCACAGCCAGAGTTGCAGTGTCACAAAGCACCTGTGAAATAAACACCACATCCCACAGACCCATCGTGACA